TCTGGATGGGTTTTGCAGTCTGGGTTTGGGCTGGGTTATGTTTCTATGCTGTGACGGATCTTGCAGTCTTTGTTTTTTGGGGGGGTTCGTGTTTCTGCATAGTTTGTTTGCTTTTTGGTTGTTGTTTTTCTGCATTTCCGATGGGTCTTGCAGTCTCTGCTTTTTGGTTGTTGTTTTTTGCATTTCCGATGGGTCTTGCAATCTCTGCTTTTTGGTTGGGTTTTTTTGCATTTCCGATGGGTCTTGCAGTCTCTGTTTGCTTTTTGGTTGGGTTTTTTTGCATTTCTGATGGGTCTTGCAGTCTCTGTTTTTTTGGTTGTTGTTTTTTGCAATTCCGATTGGTCCTGCAGTCTGCTTTTTGTTTTGTTTTTTGCATTTCCGATGGGTCTCGCAGTCTCTGTTTACTTTTTGGGTTTGTTTTCCTTTGGCCGGAATGGATTAATCGTGTTTCTGGTGGGTCTTGCAGTATTTTGTGGGGTTTTTTGGTGATCCCCCCCCCGGTTTGGAATGGATTAATCGCATTTCAATGTATTCTTATAGGAAATGGTGCTTCGACTTATGACCATTTCCTGGAATGGACTAAGTTTGTAAGTCAAGGCACCACTGTATACGAAGGCAATTATTAGGCGGCATTGAAAACTGCTTCTATCCTTCCCCAGATTATATAGGAATGTCAGAAGCTGTCGAGCCCAGTAGTATCAACTGTTAACTGGTAGCAGCTATTCAGGCTTTCATGAAGGATTCTTTCCTAGCCTTCCCTGGCAATGCTATAGACTGACCTGGGACTTTCTATATGCAAAGATGCTCTGCCATTAAATTTAAGCCTTTTCTGCAACACACTGAATATAAGTACGTCTTAGTTCATACTGTTAAGAAATATCTTGTTACTAACCTAATGGGAATCAAAACACAAGCCCAAGTCATATGCTCATTTGCAGTTAATAAAGATGTTTGATACTATCTACTGTATATAACACAGTTAACAAATCAAAATCACTGCTGTAAGATATCAGCATACACACACACATACATATTTCTTACATATCTGCCTGCACAGAGACGATGACGTACTACTGCAAGTTCTCCTGCCAACAATTTTTTAATCCATTCTGCTACTGCTTTCAAAATATTAGAAATATATTTTGAGTACAGCTTATCCAGAACAACTCATCTGGTGATATACTTAGTATTTCACTGCTTGAATCATTTCTAGGTTTTGAAAGCTAGTTTTTTGCTTCCACGGGTCCAGAAAACAAAATCATAGGTTTAATTTTTACGGTATGCTGCTCCACTCACTGCACAGCATACAGGTTGCCTCTATCACACAGAAACAGGAAGCCCAGATATGGAAAAAGGTTTTAAACTGGGGCCACTGGATGCTCTCTTCAGCCTGACTACTCAATCTGCCTTACTAGTCCTATTTGTAGTTCAGGTCACAATTACAGTATATGTAAAACATACTCTATTTTATCAACATTTCAGTTCTAAAACCAGAGGTGTCAAAGTTTGGGATTCTCCATAGAAGTTATATCCCTGTCAAAAAAAATCATCTAAATGCGAGTTTCACATGGCTAGTCACAGCTGACAGCAAAAGTAAGGAGAAACGTATTTTACTTTTCATTTCATGTGTTGCTGTAGAGAAACATAGCACTGAAAAAGGCCCTGAGGATATCTTAGTGAATCCTGGCTTACACTAAAAACTTTTGTAGCAGTTTTAATTAAAGTGTTGTTATTGAGATATGTTTGTGAACAGCAGTCGAGTCCACAACACTGGAACATAAACAACATTTACAGCTTCAATTTTTGCTTTGGTTTCTCAGCACTCTCATTAACAAGTCTGCAAATCCTATGCTCAGTTGCCTACTAATTAAATGGGACTAGCTTCTCAGTAGACATGCAAAAGATGCAAAAGCATCAGTAGACATGCAAAAGAGGGACGTGGTGGCGCTGCGGGCTAAACCGCAGAAGCCTGTGCTGCAGGGTCAGAAGACCAAGCAGTCGTGAGATCGAATCCACGCGACGGAGTGAGCTCCCATCGCTTGTCCCAGCTCCCGCCAACCTAGCGGTTCGAAAGCATGCAAATGCAAGTAGATCAATAGGGAGCACCTCGGTGGGAAGGTAACAGCGTTCCGTGTCTAAGTCGCACTGGCCATGTGACCACAGAAGATTGTCTTCGGACAAAAACGCTGGACAGGGAGAATATATCCCAACCGGTTTTTTTAAGCCTCTCAAAAGCTTTTGATATAATTGACCACTTTACCTTTACCTAGCTTCTCAGTAGACATGCAAAAGATTGCACAGTTATGCTTTGATCTGCAAAAGTATCAATTCAGAAGTAATAAAATGCTGGACTCTAAAATGCTGGACTTCCAAAAGCAGATTTTCAGTTGTTTACCTGCACTATCACTGTAGGAGTTGATGACTAGGCAAAAAGAGAAAATAACATTCTACTCTGCTTGAAATATGTCAATACAGTCCTATAGCAACACTAAATGTTGGACTGGCCTTTAGTTTTGTGGTACTGTCTGTGCTTTACACACAGAAGATCCTGGGTCACTTGACTGCATCTCCAAGGAAGACTCCAGCCTGAAATTCTAGACAGCTATGGCCAGCCATTGCCAACAGCAGTGAATCAGAAGGACCAGTAGTCCGATTCAAGTTGAGACACCTTTCTGTATTTTTGGTTTAGATTATCTTTTTGCTAAATACACAGTGGTGCTGGAGAATGTGGAAACTCCAGGGGTTTCTGAATGAGATGAAGTTCTCTAGATCCAGTAGCTTTAGCCACCTTGATGGACAATCTACATGAAGAACTGGACAGGGAGAGTATATCCCAACCGTTTTTTTTAAACCTCTCAAAAGCTTTTGATATAATTGACCATGATATCCTTCTGCATTGCCTCTCTTGTAACAGGACGTGGAGGCAGTGCTTTGCAGTGGCCTTAGTCATTTATCAGAAGAATGAGAGATTTGTGCTTGAAGCCTTGCCACTGGCCTCCAGAACTTCTCTGAGTTCTATTTTGTCACCACCAATATTTACTATTTGCAAGAAACCACCAGACAGACTGTCCAGAGATTGGGAATTTGATGGCACCAGTATGCTGATGACACCAACTCTAATTTTACTTTCCTTAAAATTCTGAGAAAATTGTTTTGTTTCTGAACCAGTGCCTAATGGTTTGGATTGGATGAATGCAAACAAAGTGAAACTAACTCCAGACAAGATAGAGGATGTTTCCTGGTCGGCTGAAAGGCAGATGAGGGAGCAGGAAGTCAATCTATGCTGGATGGGGCTACACTTTCCCTCAAGATGCACACTGACAATCTGGGAGTACGCCTGGATTTACCCTGAGCCAAGATTTCCAGGCTTTGCAATTGCAATTAAAGCTGGTACATCAGTTCTGCCAGATTTCCTGATAAATCCTAGACTGTGGCACTCCCTGCCAAGGCAGACTAGAGTTGCCACCTCCCTGTCCTTCCCTGGCACACAAATACCTTCCTATCTAGTAACGCTTTTGGCAACTGACTGGACTGTTAAGGACATGAGCTTTACAGGATTATGCAGTTGAAATTATTACTTTTAACTCAGAATTTTTAAAAGGTCTTAAAATTCATTCATTCATTCATTAATAGGAAAACCAACGGAATGATGTTTTAATATTTATAATGTACTATAATGTACTTTTAACTATACAGTGGTGCCTCGCTTAACAAGCGCACCGTATACCGACAAAATCGCATAGCGATCCGTTTTTTCGGATCGCTAATGCGATCGCTCAACGTTTTTCTAATAGGGCAAAATTCGCTTTGCGAAGACTGGTAAGCGTTTTGCTTACCGATCTTCGCAAAACGAAGCCCGATGATCAGCTGTTCGGTGGCCAAAATGGCCGCCGGAAGCCCGGCAATGGCCCAAAATGGCCGCGGGCAGCGTTTTCGCGCCCTCGTTAAGCGAGGCGAGGGTGCGAAAATGGCTGCCAGCCATTAAGAAGCATCGCTGAACGGTGAGTATTTGGCCCATTTGGAACGCATTAAACCATGTTTAATGCATTCCAATGGAATTCCCTGCCCTGTTCAACGATGCTTCAGCATAGCGAAGGTTAATCCGGAACAGATTAACCTCGCTATGAGAGGCACCACTGTATTTGTTTTCAAATTAGACTATAAGTATCCTTTGTTGAGAGCTTTGGAGAGAAAGGTGGAATACAGACCAAATAAATAAATAAATAAACAAACAAACAAACAAACGCACACATACATAAAAGTATAAGTCACATCAAGTGTTTGCACATTGAGTGTAAATGTGCTTGTATGCACATGGGAGAGTATGAAGTGCTGGATAATAAATGAATCTGATGAAGTGAGCAGTCCACTAAAGATCCTATGATAAATGTGATATTTATTGAAAGAATCATAGTACTCTTAGGCGTTTGTCTCAGTCATTATAGCTGAGAGATATTCTAGAGAGTTAAGGAATGAAGATGGCCCACTTCATTAGCCAGCTCTGGCAAAGCAGCAATAAACAAATTAAACCCAGTGAACTTCCCGTACAAAACACACATGTGTGACCCCGGCCTGATCACAAGCACACTGTACTGAAAGGGCAGAAGCTTCTTCCTACTTTTTCCCTACAGCAAGGTTATGCCAACAACAGGAACACCCACTGGAGAGTCTTGTGTTTCAGAAGAAATCAGTCAGCACTTAGATTCACTGGATAAGGTACAGTAATTGTAATGGGCAGCTTATCTAACAACAGTGTAAAGTGACCACATGTTTCAATTACTGTGAAGCATTTCCCATTTAATGCCTGCTCAATTTGCTGGGGAAAAATGCTTTTGCAAGACTCACTCTACGAGAGTCAGAGTGCACAAGGCTTGGGACATTAATGAGAGTGCAGTGAATACAAATCAACAACTTGTTTTCCCTCAATGCAACCGATAGCTACTGCTATGTACCCAAATTTTCAGTCTTGTTGCAGAACCGTGTCCTAAATTCATGCTTACCTGATCACATCCTGCATTCACGAGTTCCTGCAACATCTGCCTGTTGACTTCAAAAGCTGCAGGGGAGGTACTCAACTCATTAGCAAAAGGCAACAATGAATATCTGATTTCTCGCAGTGCTTTTTGGTAAGGCCCAAACTTGGCAGCTGGTCTCATCTGCTGCTGCCTGGCAGCATCCTTCCCCACTAAAATTTTAGGGTCCAGAGAACTTTCACCACCTGGTCCAACTGGCAATCCCTGACTGGAAGACTTGGTGGGTTGCTTCAAACCTTCTCGAATTTCCTGCAGTCTTTGTCTGCTGTTCCCAGAGTAGGTGGTAGCAGGAAAAGTCTTTGGCCTCATGGTTAATCCAGTTTTGTTTCAGCATAAATACCGACTTCTATCATATACAATCGCAGGGATTTTCAATGCCATCCATCTTGATAACGTAAGATTGCAATAAAACATAAAATAACAATTCCAAAGCAGGACTGCAGACTTCTGTGGCATAGACTGGTCACTCTTCTACGTTCTGCATAGTCAAGGACACATCAATGGCACTGCAAAAATATCTTGAAAGAGCAGCAGGCACATTTACTCTTCTTTGGCTCACAGTTTTACAGTTCCTTTACCCAGCGAGATATCTTAAAACTCCATCTTGCTGTTTTTCAGTATCTGGAAGAAAGAAGAACAGAGATATTTTCATGCAACTTTCTGTTTTTGTTAAAAAATTTCTTCTGAAGACCTAAGAGCCAGCCTGCAATATTGTGTCTTTGTTTGTATTTCATTATAAAATTGAAAGTTGTGGACAGTATAAAGATAGAACTATGTAGAATGTGGAAATACATCTTATTGAAAACTAAGAAGGTTCATACTTCAAATCCAACAATAAATTAAACATTAAAATGTTTCACCAAACAGGAAGCACTGAACATTTTCCTGAATACGGATGGATGCCTGGCCACCAAGAAGGAAGTTGTACAGAACTGGAAAAACAAATGAACTAGATGAACAAAATATTGGACACAGACCAAGAAGCCGTAATCCATGGGGAAACTAAATTGGGTGGGCTTTATGCAAATCACTCTTATGACAATTTAAAGAGCAGATGCAAGATGAAAATGAACTAATCTCATGCATGCTGTGTGCCTCCACTTGTTTAAGAATACAAATGTGAGTAAGAACAATAAGAAAAAGAACCACGACATGGTTATTTTTTCTCTCTATGATAGCGGAACTATCAGATTAAACTGCTCAGTTTACAAGTTGCTGTGTAAATTTCCCTGATCTGTAACTGTCTTTCAACACCTGGTGTGGTTAAACGATTGAGATAATGCAGAGTCCTGTTTTACAACTAGGACATTTACAGCAACTGTGCAATCTGCTGAGCAGTACAAAAAGCAAGCAGGACTGGGTGCAGAGGCCACTGCACATCTGTAATACTGCAATTAAATGTGTTGAGCTATTGCATGAAACCACTTAGAAGGTCATCACTTTTGCAGAAACACAAAGTAGTGCAGTTATGGCAGCAAATCCAAACCAGCAACCTCCTCATGGCTCAAGTCAAATGCAGGCAGAGAGACCCATGGCTGGTTAACACCAATAGTAAATATTTCTATCCACAACAACAGGATCAGAGATCCCCCTGCTCCATGCAATGCACAATGGTACAATATTTCGGTAAAAATTTGCTGGCTGTTAACACAGATGGTCTAAGTATACAGCATCTGCAGAACATGGAGAGAATATCTTTTGGATGACAATTCCTAGAATCCCTGAGCCAGCAAGGCATTCCAGAAACAGTAGTCCAAAAAAAGTAAAGCTTCCAACCCATGGAAGAAGGACACACAATGCATAATATTGTGTCACATACAAACCATGCAGCACACAGGGAGCTCAGATCTCCAAGGCAAACAGCCAAAGCAAGCAAGCAAAAAAGCATGCAAAACAAAGACCGTGCACATAAGTGCCAGACTATCAAAGACAGACCAAGTGAAGATGATGACTCATGTGCAATGCAGCACCCGCAGTCTTCTGCAGGAACCCAGAGGGCCAGAGGTGTCAGGCTGAGAGAATGGGACCCAAAGACCACCCAAGTATTTGTGGAAAGGTGGCAATACAAGGCCATGCCTTTATCCCTGCTGGGCCTCTGCCCTCTTCTGGGGATAAAAGCAGCTAAATGAGCCAACAGTTTATTGGGCTTCCATGCACTTGCCCAGTTCCCATTCATCATTTTTATTCCCAAATTCCAGGCAAATTTACATATACTTCTAAATAGAACTTGAAATCCAAGAATTAAGGATCAGAACGAAGATTTATTTCACAGAGGGCTATACTCAATCCCAGAGGATAAGTCAGGATTTCATATGGCACATGTGTAATTTGAAATCAACACTTTGAATTTCATATGAGTTTTTATATATTTTCCCTATATCTACAGTCGCAATATTTGCTGGTTGCAATATTTCAAATACAATTATAGGGGAAGTAGACGTAAAGGGAGTATGAGTTTTTTTTAAATCAAAACAGAGCATAGGATTTTAAAAATGTTAAGGAACACTGCTCTAATAAAAAGAAAGAGACACAACCTTCAGAAATGGGGAAAACAGAACAGTATACATAAAACTTCACGCTGGAGGCAAATCTTCCATCAATGCAAAAATGAACTAGTTACAGCACACACAGCTGGTGCAAACAGTCCACATTCCTCTGGACAGGAGCCCAAGCCTGCCTGATCAGCAGGGTAAGCGTGATAAAACTATTCATGGGATCCTTCCATTGCCAGAGCCACTAACAAATGGACAGGCTATAGGCTGATGCCAATTTAGGCAGAGAAGTGTCTCTATACAGAGCCTGATGGTGCAAAACTCTGAACCGACAACTTGGGTTCCAAAGCAAACCCGAACTCCACTGGGACTTTACAACACCTGTAAGATTCTAACAACATTTCTAATAGACAAATGTGCATTCCCACCCATGTTTTACTCTTCCTAAACAAGAAAACTATCCCGGCCTAAATTAAAAGGCAGCTTCCATGAACATATTTTAATCTCAATGCCTTGCTCAATTATTTCTTCTTATTTTTCAAACTATTTCCCACCTGCCTCGTTTATCTTAGCAGTTCTCTTTTTTTTAAAGCTCTTCATAGAATCATATAATAATGGAGTTGGAAGGGGCCTATAAAGCCACTGAGTCCAATCCCCTGCTCATTGAAGGAATCCAAATAAAAGCATATCTGACCGATGGTTGTCAAGTATGCACTTTGGAGTAACTAATGCAATACCACACTGACCTTATGTCTGCATGGAAGAATCAGGCATTGCAGGCTGTACAGAAAAGAAAAGAAAAAGGTGCAGCATTATATTCTTACTCCTGTAAAAGAATGTCTGTTAATGGATGTTACATGCAAATAACAAGAGATGTTTTCTGTGAAAATATGTACTGTATTTACACCAGAACCTGACAGGCAAGGCTCCTGCTAAGCTGGGCGCACGTGCGTTTCTGCCTCCCTGTGCACAACTGTCTTCCTCCTCTGTGCAGCGATTGTGTTAGGTTCCAGATGCGACAGAACCCACTCTGCGCAGCAATTGTGTTATGTTCCAGATGCGACAGAACCCAGCGTGCGGGTGGGTGGGTGGAGTTGCACAAGAGGGAGGCAGAGCTCCGCCCAGCAGGGCTGAAAATTAGAGGGTACGTTGCTGACAGGAATGAGATTCATTTATTTTCTTTTTAATTTATTATATTTATAGTCTACTTTTCCTCCAGTGAGTACAAGGTGGCATAACTGCCTCTCGTCCTCACTCTATGAGGTAGGTCCGCCTGAGAGACTGTCACTGGTTCAATATCACCCTGAAAAGTTTCATGGCTAAATAGAAACAGTATTTTAATTCAGGTCCTCCTGAGTCCTGGTCCAACAGCTTAACTCTACAACACACTGATCCATATATGTGTGAAAGAACAGTGTGTGCAGCATGTGAGGAAGGAACAGAAACCCAAGTGTTATACAGTCATGCGTCGCTTTACGACTGCCCCATATAACGATGAATCCGTTTAATGATGCCTTTTTTGTGATTGCAAAAGTGACTGCATAACGATGCTTCCTATGGGCAAAATCCGCTGTGTGATGTTTGGTTCCCTGCTTCAGGAACCGATTTTTTTGCATTACGAAGATCAGCGAACAGCTGATCGTCGGATTCCAATAGAAGGTGGCATAACTGCCTCTCCTCCTCACTCTATGAGGTAGGTCCACCTGAGAGACTGTCACTGGTTCAATATCACCCTGAAAAGTTTCATGGCTAAATAGAAACAGTATTTTAATTCAGGTCCTCCTGAGTCCTGGTCCAACAGCTTAACTCTACAACACACTGATCCATATATGTGTGAAAGAACAGTGTGTGCAGCATGTGAGGAAGGAACAGAAACCCAAGTGTTATACAGTCATGCGTCGCTTTACGACTGCCCCATATAACGATGAATCCGTTTAATGATGCCTTTTTTGTGATTGCAAAAGTGACTGCATAACGATGCTTCCTATGGGCAAAATCCGCTGTGTGATGTTTGGTTCCCTGCTTCAGCGCATTACAGCGATCAGTGAACAGCTGATCGTCGGGTTCCAAAATGGCCACCGGCTGAAGAAAATGGCCCCCGTTATTTTCTAGGACGGATTCCTCGCTAGACAGGCACCGAAAATGGCCGCCGTATGGTGCTAGGAATATGAATTGGTCCTGAAATCTGAATTAACATGGTTAGCTCTTCAAAAGCAATGCAGAGTTTCATGGCTAAATACAGTATTTTAATTCAGGTCCTCCTGAGTCCTGGTCCAACAGCTTAACTCTACAACACACTGATCCATATATGTGTGAAAGAACAGTGTGTGCAGCATGTGAGGAAGGAACAGAAACCCAAGTGTTATACAGTCATGCGTCGCTTTACGACTGCCCCATATAACGATGAATCCGTTTAATGATGCCTTTTTTGTGATTGCAAAAGTGACTGCATAACGATGCTTCCTATGGGCAAAATCCGCTGTGTGATGTTTGGTTCCCTGCTTCAGGAACCGATTTTTTTGCATTACGAAGATCAGCGAACAGCTGATCGTCGGATTCCAAAATGGCCACCGGCTGAAGGAAATGGCCCCCTCTGTTTTCTAGGACAGATTCCTCGCTAGACAGGCACCAAAAATGGCCGCTGTATGGAGGACCTTCGCTGGACGGTGAGTTTTTAGCCCATTGGAATGAATTAGCCGGGTTTTAATGCGTTTCAATGGGTTTTTTATTTTCACTTTACGATGTTTTCGCTCTATAGCAATTTTGCTGGAACGAATTAACATTGTTAAGCGAGACACCGCTGTAAAACCATCTATTTTTTCAGAGTTTAAAGAGTCAGAGTACTGCCAGCTGAATGGTAGGATCCTGGCTGAATATGGCTGCAATTTTGTGTACCATACAACAGGTGGGCATCACATTTCTAAGAACAACTACTGCAGAAAAGACTTTAATCCAAAGTGCAGTTCATTGCTACACAGGACCATGTGCAGAGATGTTTCTGGCATAACTATGGTGCTGGGAATATGAATTGGTCCTTAAATCTGAATTAACATGGTTAGCTCTTCAAAAGCAATGCAGCGGAGGCTGCTCCATGGTGCAAACTGTTCTACGTAACAAGCTTTACCATTT